AACCGCATCGCTCCAGCTACTCACTGACCCACAGCTCGATCCTCCAATGGATCGCTGACCCAGAACCTCATCGCTCCAGCCACTCAGTGACCCACAGCTGGATCCTCCGACTGATCGCTGACCCAGAACCGGAGCCCCCCTGCCAACCGCTCAATGACACAGAACCAGATCCCCGCCAGACCGATCACTGACCTACAGCTGGTATCCTCTGAAGACCCATAGACCCAGAACCGGATCCCCTCCCAGCTGCTCCATGACCTAGACCCGATCTTATCAATCTCTCAGTGAATGAGACTCAATCCCTCAGCGACTGATCCTGATTGCTCAGGGAATGACTCCCAATCACCATCGATCCCTCGGCGAGGGACGCCGTCCTGACCGATCCCTCGGCGAGGGACGCCGTCCTGACCGATCCCTCGGCGAGGGACGCCGTCCTGACCGATCCCTCGGTGAGTGAGTGGCAATGTCTATCAGCCCCTCAGTGAGAGAGAGAGATTCCCTTGTCTCCCTTCCTCCCTCCCTGACCGTATCAAGCTGCTGAAATCACTCCACGCATCACAAACCTTGGACTCTTTGCTCTTAATTGGTGATATATTCCACGTTGGGGGGACCTGCAGAAAGGAAGAAAACAGATCAGTCACAAGGAACAGAGTGGTGCTGCATGCTTTAAACCTGATAGTCGCCCTCACTGAGCCCAGCTGGTCACAATACCCTTCACCAGCTCACCTTCTTGCAGTCCTGGTCTGTGCTGCTTGCTATTCGACTGGAGGGACCAAAGCAGGCCTCACACCCACATCCAGCAGGTGCTCCCTGAACAGCAAATGGAACACTTTCTAAATCTCCACAAGGACATCACGATGCAGGATAAAGCTGGACGGATGTGGATAAACCAGGAGAAACCCCTTGTACAAAATTCACAGGAAAGGTCACACGCACGAGCTTTCGGTGTTCCCTCAAGTGTGCAAGATGAAGGCGTGATCACATCAGGGTGTTTAGGTGACTAAAGAATTCTGTGGTGTTGAGAGAGTGAGAGCGAGACCGCGACTGCAAGAGCAACCAACAGTGCAAGAGCAAGACTGCGAGAGTGACCGACAGTGCAAGAGCGAGACCGCGAAAGCGAGCAACAGTGCGAGAGCGAGAACAAGAGCGAGAACGCGACAGCGACCGACAGTGCGAGAGCAAGACCGACAGAGTGAGCGCGAGAGCGAGACCACGACCTCGAGAGTGACTGACAGTGCGAGAGCAAGAGCGAG